AAGAAAAAAAGAAAGGAAAGAAGGAAGAAAAGAAAAGAAAAAAGAAAATCTGAAAGGTTTCAGATTTTAAATTACGTCCAAAAGGAATTTTTATATTTTGTGTGTTACATTTATTTATTAAATATCACGGTCTTCGAACTTAAACCATAAAATTCAGTTCAACAGCAATATCGCAAAATAGTTTTAAAATGAGTATATCTTTAGAATTTCCGATACAGAGACTCACGCGCTAGAGATAAAAATGTTTTTCCTGTACAACGTTGCCATTGCTCACTTTGAAATCCTTGAGTTTGTTAATCAAAAATTCGTTAAATATTTACAAAATATAAAATCGATCATAAAACAAATTTGGGCTTCCACATGCCCATATTCGCAGTAGGATTACGTCATTCAAAATTCGATGGCTCTATGTATCGTTCTTTTATCACAATGCGAGAAATATACGTACATTTACGCAGATTTTTCATTATTTAATTTCCTCAAATATAATGCAAGTCTTTAACATTTGGTGGCAACAGTTTAAAAAGTGAAACAGGCATTTATAGTAAACCAACGCAAAATTGCAAAACGAAAACAATACTCCTTCAGGGACATAGCACTTTTGGACTAAAAAGAGTTTCTTCAATTTGTAAAAAATCAAAATAAATAAATAAATAAAATAATAAAAATTATTAGAAAAACCTGAAATATTTCAGATTTTAAATTACGTCCAAAGGGGCGTTTTTTTTTTTTTTAAGTTTAGTGTGGCGATTTTTATTTATTAAATATCATGTTCTTTGCACTTAAACCATAAAATTTAGCTCAATAGCAGTGTTGCGAAATATTTTAAAATGAGCATATCTTTAGAATTTCCGATACACAGTTCGACGCGCTGGAGATAAAAAGTTTTTTTTTTTTTTTTTTTTTTTTTTTTTTTTTTTTTTTTTTTTTTTCCCGTAGAGTGTTGCCATTGCTCGCTTTTAAATAGTTGAGTTTGTTACTCAAAATTCGTTAAAGTTTTACAAAATATGAAATCGATAATAAACAAATTCCAAATTTCAAATTTGGGATTCCAGATGCCCATATTCGTAGTAGGATTACGTCATTCAAAATTCGATTGTTCTATGTACCGTTGTTTTATCACAATACGAGAAATATACATACATTTATGCAGATTTTTCATTATTTAATTTCTTCAAATATAATGCAGGACTCTAACATTTTGTGGCAACAGTTTGAAAAGTGAACCGACATTTATGAGTCCGACGCAAAATGCCAAAACGAAAGTAATAGTCCTTCGGGACTCAAATCCCTTTGGACTAAAAAATACGTCTAATAAAAAAATAAATAAAATAAATTACGTCTACGTCCAAAGGGAAGCAGGGAAGCCAAAAAAATATCCATACTGCCAGATTGTTCGTCGGACATTGGAATGTCGATATACCAGTGTTCAGCAGTCGGCCAGTGGTGAACGCCTTTAAAAAATTATATTACGGACTATTTATTTGATAATAGCATAATAAAAGATAAGGAAGTCCATAAATTGTTGTCGAATATAATGCATTGCTGCCAACCTTGAAATATGATAAACAATAACTTCTTTGCGCATTGCGCTGCTCAGCGATACACTTCGAAAGAACACCACAAACAAATTTGACTCAAAAACATTTTATAATACAGAATTCAAGTTGATCAAAAAATTATAATATTTTTAAATATAAAATTTAGTAGTTTAATATTTAATTCATTATTCTAATTTTCAGTTCTATGTTAAGTTATGTTGGTTCGCTAATGATTTTCTATTGTGTAGATATCTCAAAATTTTGCATTAATGAAAACCGAGCAGAAAAGGCGGAAAAATATCAAACAAAATTTTAGTTATTTACCTATTAAATATTAATTAAAATGCTGTGTAAATGTATGGATATAACCAGTTTAGATCGAATACAAATTAATCAGAAAAATTATGCTGAAAAGTACTTGGAAAAAAAATTTAATTTGAGTTTCGTTTAGAAATGATCATGTCGTTCGTTGCCCTTAGCGCTTTTCTAGTACCAGAGATGCTATTAATCTCAAAACTCAGTTTTTGAGAGTATCACTTTTCAAATCGTCACCACAAAATGTTATGGCTGTTATTTTTTTTTAAATTATAACTAATGACGAATCTGTATGCATGTATGTATGTTTCTGGTATTGGGGATCAACCGAGCCACCGAGCTTTAAACGCACCAGAACATAGATACTTCAAAGCTCGAAATTTGAATTTCGGAATTGTTTTTGATTTATTCCTATTTTGTAGAAATTTGACGCTATTTTTATTTAAAAACTCGGAGATGTAAAAGCGAGAAGTGGCAACAATGCTAACATTTTTATTTCCAGCTCGCCAGACTGTTGCCATACGATAAAATATAACATATTTACCTTTCAATTTCAATCCGCAAATTCGGCTATTTGAAAGCAATGTATTACCGCTACCTCAAGTAGAATACTTATTATCTCAATGCAACAGCATATTGCCATTCAATAAAGCGTAAAATATTTAACTTTCAATTTTAATCTTCCTGTTACTGAGCAGCAAACCAAATGAGTGAAAAGCAATACAGGCAGTTCTTAAAAAAAATTTTTTTTTTTTGTCCTTTGTAATCTGATTGATTTAAATAAAAATGCATTATATCATGAGATGTCTAATTAGAAATAATAAATATTTTTATGAAATAATACTAGATGGGCTCGTTAAAATCATTTATACATTTTTCTTTTTTATAATAATTCTTTTAGCCGGCTGGCAGCTCAAGCGCCAATTTTTCAAAGAAATAATATATCGAATATATAACAAAGTATAGGAAACCTAACACTCTATCGGGAATTCAAAAGACGTGCTGTTTTTAAATATTTTGTGATATTGTGATTTTTAAATATTTTGAATTTTATGTGACGTAAGTGCGAAGAAAGCGATGATTAATAATAAAGTTAAAAAAAGAATTGCCAGCAAGAGTGCGTACATAAATAGTTCAGATAAAAATATATGCTATTTATGATGCAGTAAATATTCTAGAAACAGGCTAATTCACTGAAAATATCTTTCATATCAGAGAACGTATGTATACAACTATACTACTAAATAATAAATTATTACATAGTGTGTCAGGAAAAGAGCAGTTAAACTTACTAAAGGAAGCTGTCTAATCTGGATACTACTGTTACTTTTAAATATAGTTCATATATATAGTAACTTTTAGAAATAAAAATATATACAAAAATTAAACGGCATATAGTATACATATTCATATCTGCAAATTTGGGAATAGAATATAAACATCCTTAAAATGTCTGATAACCGAAGTCCTTAGGGAAATTCAGTATTAAATTCCTTTAGATGATGTGATGTCCTCAAGACATCTGAGAATAAACATCTTCCCGTGGCAATACGTCTTAAATAGCATATTCTTAGGATGTTAAATTATTAAGTGTACAGGACATACAGGAATCAATATCCTCATCGTGTCTCGGGAAATATGAGATTAGCAAAGGACATCCTGAGTATATGATGTGTTATGGAGCTACTTTACAGTTACTCTACCATACATTTCATTTACGTATTCTGACAAGTCTTACATTGCCAAAAAAAGCTGATTGTCAAATTACTGGTCACTGCTATCAAACACTATATCACTCAATTTCTCTTAAATTTTTATTTAAATGATAAAATTCTGAATAAATTTAATTTATAATATGTCTGTTTGATGATTTTTATAAACATTCGCAACATCAATTTAATCAATAAAAAAAATATTTTAACGTAATATATTATATACCTCTCACAGAAAAAAGTGTTTTTTTTTTTTTTAAATTTTTTGGCAGTGCTTTTAAAACATCTGTGTGGTATAGACGTTTGCAAGCATATAGTGTCTGTGCAGCAAGGGCTATTTGTATATACAAAATATACAGCGAGTCGAAAGTCCTCTCGAGAGATTGATGGTAGAGGAAGAGGGGGGGAAGACCTTCCGACCGCCTCATCCAGGTAATTCTTCCTCAAAACTGGGGCTAAAGTTTAACAGTTAGGTAGGTTCAGCAATATCACAATTACCTGTGGTACTATGGAGGAGTTAGCCAAGCTTTTACCTGTACCTATAACAGCGCTTCGGCCCACTAGAGGCCGAGCGGTAAAATACATTGAACATTGGAAGTTCGATTTGAGCTCTATTCCAGACGAATAGGCTCACTGCATCGGCCTTTTCGTGATTTTCCCCATGTGTAACATGAGTCGAGAATGTTTCCCTCAGAAAGTCCTCCAAGAAGGCGTCCCTGCCTTTAAGCAGATAGCCATTGAATGCTTTGCCGTAACCAAACAAACGTAGTAGTGCTCCTGTTTTCAGTGTAAGTTTTGCCAGTAAAATTTTTTTATTAAAGTATCTCTTTCAGTTTCATTCTTTATTAATTAAAATCTTAGTTACCGCAATGAACAAAGAACAACAAAGAACTTACTGAAAGAGATCTATTTCAATATAAGAAATATATTTCTTACGTTTAGAAAAATTTACTGCGTTCAAATAAATGGATAACGAAAGCATGACACATGAAATTAGCGCATATATCTCTCTGTAGAAAATGCTTTGGTGCATATTGTCATATAACGGAAAAGATCCCTAGTTATTTATCGGCATCTTTTAAAAATAGACAGACGATAAGGTACTAAAAAAATATGCTCAAAACCAAAAATTAATTCAAATATTTTCTAAAACATAGTAAAGTACTAAAAAAGTGCATAATCAAAGGCTCCATTGATACCTAAATCAAATAATAAAAATTTGTCACGTAAATAAAAGTAATAAAAAAAAGCGCAGCTAATTTTCATGACTGTTTTCATATTTTTACATGTAAATAATATAAAACAGATTCCGTTATTTTACCATCGGAAAGCGTAAAGTATGTTTGGTAATGTTTAACCGCAACACCAGTTTATCTTAATCAATTAATTATCAGAGAAAGTCCAAATTATTTTAAACGGAGCAGGTACTCACCAGAAGGCATCTTGCCAGTGTCCGGCTTCCCATAATCGTTGCTGTCAGTCGTCCCAGAAATCAGACATTCTACCTACCTGAGGGTAACTTTACGCGCACGTCAACCCTCCACTCACCCAAGGTCATGACGTCACATGTCGGAAGCGTGACGTACTAGGAACAACCCTAATCAAGCCCCGGCCACGTGTTTCTCCGCCACTCATCAACACTGTGATGTCGAACGCAACTCAATACAATTGCCGTATCTTGTTTCAGCCGTTGACAATTTGGGATGGATCCGTGCGCTTCTAGATGGTGCCAGTGCTAATGAAATGTCTTTAAGCAAGCAACAGGTGCTGAAGTCGAGTGTGGTGGTGGTGGAGAGAGACGAGAGGGGAGCAGAACCTGTTTGGCTTGGCTCCAGTGTTGTTTTGAAGTTTTGTGTACAAATGCACATTGCGTGAATGTCTTGCGGTTTTTTCCGACCTTTTGACGCAACACTGAATGAAAAAAATAAACAAAATATAAGTAACTAAATAAATATAAAGCATCAAATCATTTCTCTTAGCTGTTTTGGTTTTCAACTGCGAACGCGTAATCACTCATGCAACCACTTAGAAGCGTGAAAATTTAATCGTCGGATAGTTTTGAAAATAAGTTGCATTCTACTTCAACGCCGGGATGAGATGGTCTGCTTGGGGAAATATGGTAGTTCTTACGGCAAGTACGTGAGGGCGAAGAAGGTACATACCCCAATTCTCTAAAACTTTCTTTCTACTGTACTTAAATATGTTTTTTAGGCAATTTAATAGCCTTTCTGGGCTATTAATTTCGTCCACGTAAAACGGCGTTTCGCTTTTCAAATTGTTGCCACCAAATATTACAGCTCTGCATTATATTTAAAGAAATTAAATAATAAAAAATCTGCAGGTTTCTCACATTGTGAAAACAACGGTACCTAGAGCCATCAAATTTTGTATTAACGTAGTCCTGCACCCGAATATGGGCATCTGGAAACTCAAATTTGGAATTTATTTTATTATCTATTTCTTATTTTTGTAAAACTTTAACGGATTTTCGATTAGCAAACTCAACGTTTTCAAAGCGAGCAATGGCAACACTGTACGAGGGGGGGAAGCATTTTTATCTCAAGCGCGCGAGACTGTGTATCGGAAATTCAAAGATATGCTCATTTTAAATATTTTTTATATTGCTGTTGCACTGAATTTTGTAGTTATAGTACGAATAACATGATATTTAATAAATAAAGGTAGCACACAAAATGTTAAAAAACGCCCCTTTGGGCGTAATATAAAATCTGAAAGCTTTCAAATTTTTTTTCACCCAATGGCGGGCCCTCGGTCAATTTCGGCTTGGCCACGACTAAGGCCAGAAGTGGTGATCGCTTTATTATGGAGGCACCTGATAGGTGGGCCACCTTTGCTTCCTATGAAGGGACGGACATTTACAACTATGCTTTCTCCGGGATTCGAACTCGGAGCCTTTGGTATAAGCATTCGGCTTCTCAACCACTAACCACTGTCTGGTTGGTATTTAAAATATCTAAAATTTTATATATTAATTTAATTCAAGAGCTTAAGAATGTAGAATTAGAGAGAGGAACAAAGTTTTAAACTTCATATTATAGTTCTTCATGTCGTTCTTCAAAAATCATGCACTAGACTATTGCCTCCCACTCTCGTTGGTGAGCCATAAATCCTACTATTAGATCGCAAGGACACTCACACATATACTTCATTAATTTTTCTTTCCAGGATTTTTGTTCTTAACTCATTGTAACTTTTAATAGTATAACTTATTTTCCTTTTATCCTTATGTTTGATATATTCAATTTCAGAATGATAGCAACCACATTCTGGTTATTTTAGAGACCCAGGGACCACTGACGAGATCACGTGCCTCCATTCACAAACGATTATCGTATTTTTTTCATATTTCATTATCATACTTACTACTAATGTTTAACATTAGCACAGCCATTTCTTTGCATGCACTGTGAATAGAATTCGCAAAGACAATGAAAGATTTTCGGAAGTTTTCTCAACTAAATTGACTATTTTTCAGTTTTTTACTTCACGGTTACAGAAAGTGCTCAATTAGCTTAACGAAAAATTTTTTGATAGTCTAGTGTTTTAAAAAAAGGAAAATATAGTGTTCTTCTGCCAATCGCCTGATTATTTGTTGTTGCCGTTGCTTTTAATCTCAAATTTGTAAATGCAACAAAAGTTTAGTTTACCTTGATATCATTTTAATATTATATTTTTTCCTTAATAAATTATTTCCAAAATAAAAGTTGTTATTTAGAAGGAGAATTTAAAATACGTGTTAAAAATACAAGAGTACTAAAAAAAAAAAAAAAAAAAAAAATTGCGTATAGCGAATAAACATTAAATCTGTGAAAGAGTCCTTGGAACCCAACGACGGGCTTTACGAACAAAAATTCGACATAGGAACTTGAGGGTTAGCTTGTGCACTTTTATAGTTCAAAAGTATAATTTTAAAGATTCCTTTCCATGATGGAACGAGGCGGATGATGGAACCATGATGGATGATGGAACCATGATGTTTCCATGATGGAACTTGAAGAAAAATTTCTTCAAGACCTTGGGCTTTGAGCGTACGTTGATGGGCAGATGCCTCTAAAAAGATAACTATTTTTATTGTATTATTTTTATATACACTGCTTATTTTAATGCTTATTCACACATTGTTGTTTTTCAGCTAGCGATAGAGTACTATCCGTAACAAATAAAGATCAGAAACATAAGGGCACATTATGCTAATCGACGATGCGTCAGATCTTAAATTTATCCAATTGTAAAATTGCAGTTATCTAATTGTAAAACTGCAATAAATTGATATTGTAAAATTGCAATGCATATCAACGGGAATCACTCAGAAAGTCATTTAACACCTCGAAGAATCTCTTAATATAAAGAGTGTTAGCACTTCCCTTTTTGAAATATAGGTTGGAAGCTTCGTACTCGAGAGATCCGGTTAAAAAAATTGTTCAGCGACACCTCGAGTAATGAGGTCTTTTATAATTCAGTGAATGAAAAAGCTCCGTGAGGATTTATTTAAGACGGAATAATATCATAACAGGTTTTCTTTCTGCATTTTCTTTTGGTAAGCTGTTTTGCATATCTCAATTTTAAAAATATGATTTTATATTGTTTCTCGAATTTCTTAGGACTTATGCTTAAATTAGTAGATCCTCGTGCATGAACTAGTACGTCTCGGGACTCATGCGTAAACAAGTAGATATACTACTAGTTTTCAAATGCCTTTTTAAGTGTTAAATATAATCTGAATTTTTTTAAAGGAATCAAAGGAAATTATCTTAATTGAACTCAAGAGATCCAGAAAACTATAAGCAGAGATTTAAACAGAATTCAAAAACATGAAGAAATCAGCCAGCTGTATGATTGATATAACTGTTTTGTAGATTTTTATGCATGGTATATTAAACGTTAAGAAATAAGAATGTTGTTCTCTTTCAGCTTTATATTTTGTACGAAATTAGTCCTAAAACTTCGTAGACGCATTGTGTATACAGTTGTCACTTGCCTTAGAAAGAAATAAAATGTGTCTAAATCCATTCCGTGTTTGATGAACCGATTACGTGATTTTTAAAATCTGATCTCTGTATTTTGTTCTTGCTGTAATTGTGTGTAAGAAGTAAAACTAGGTGAACCGTTAAGCAAATAAGCACGTACTAAGGCATCAAGGATAGGGTCAACACAAAAACGTCCTTGGAAATTAAGGAAAGAGAGTATAAGGTATTTTCTCCCTTCTTTCTGCATGCTTTCGTAGTGTAAGGGTAGCACACTCGGCGTGTGTTCGACAGGTGCAGGTTCGAGTCCCGGCGAAGGCATTGCTGCTTCCTGCTTAAAATAACCTAGTGACTCTATAGTGGCCGAACTAAAAGGTGGTGGATGATGTTTCTTTACCGCCAGGATTTGACGGTCCCCTAATCCCTAGTCGCCCTTCACAAACGGGAGTATATAAGGTATTTTCTTCCTCCTTTCTGCGTGCCTTCGTTGTGTAACGGTAGCACACTCGGCGTGTATTCGAAAAGTCCAGGTTCGAGTCCCAGCAAAGGCATTGCTCAGTTTTCATGCCCCTGCTTAAAATAACCTACTGCCTTGTAGAAACATTAGGTTATTTCGAAGCAGGAGGGATAAAAAATTAACAATGCCTTCGGCGGGAATCGAACCGCGGACCTCTCAATTACGCGCTGAGCGTGCAGACCACTACACCACGAAGGCTCGCTAAGAAGGCGGGAGAAATAGCTTATATACTCCTCCTTTTAAAGGGCGACTGGGGTTTTTTGGGGACCCAATCACCAAATTCTGGGTGAGGAGATTCATTATTCAACACCCTTTTAGTTCGGGCGCCACTGCAGAGATATTAGGTTATTTGGAAGCAGGAGGGATGAAAAGTTAACAGCGCCTTCGCCGAGAATCGAACCGCAGACCTCTCAATTACGCGTTGAACGTGCACGAAGGCTGGCTAAGAAGGCGGGGGAAAATACCTTATAGCCTTATTATATAACCTACAAGAGTACGGCAAAATGTTTTCACTGTAGGTTTTAAATGGTATGTATGGATGCAGCTAAACCAAAACTGAGGGAGGAGAAATTGGGGGAGGGGAGAAGGTATTAGAATGTATTACTTGAAGGCACCAAATCTTTTAAGTGCTTAGGACCTCTTAAATTCTTAATCCAGCCCTGGTAAGAGGTGAACTATTCTTACTGAATTTTATATACACTAAAATGCCGGTAAGCTGAGAGTTTATTTTACAGTAATTTCCGTATTTTGATTTTAATGTCTTCGTTACTCTCTATACAAATTCTAATATTCTTTCCAAAGGAATGCGTGTGGAAAAAAAAATGTATTGGCATTATAATCGGCTTTATTAGAATGAGAAGTTTTAGACTACTGTAAAAAATACTTTTTCTTTTTCGAGTTAAAAATTATGCCCTTACTAAAATTAGTTCATAACTATTATCGGAGAAAGTGTACGTTGATGAGAGGGAGAGAAGGAAGATTTTCTGTCTTAAAAAATTTAGGTGTTAAAATGAAGAGTTAATATGTATATCGTGTATCGTTGCTGAATAAAAAGCGAAACCAAAAAGAATTTCTCAGAAATAAAATTGCATTAAATAAAAAAAAATGCAAGAATTTTTACCAATTTACTCGTATTTTCCTATTCAGAATTTTTTTTTTTTTCCTATTTTTTAAAATGATATAAACATCTCTTTGCAGATCTGTGAAACATCTACAGCGTGCGGCTCCGATATTTCGGGCATCTCTAATACTATGTAGAATAGTGATCT